TTACATGAGGGTCTTTGGTCTCAGATCTCATGGTTACCTCTTTGAAGGCTGTATCATATGTTCAGTTTCACTCCAGTCCATCACTATTCAACAATATGGCTATGTGGGTCGAACAGACTCTGTTCTTGGACTGTACCATGCGTCTGACCTCTAAGCCCAGATTTTCCCTAGTGTGATAGCTTTCCAACCTGACTGAAGCTAGGGGGAGGCATTTTCACCACAGTTGTAGAAGTGTCTTCTGATGGATGCCAGTCTGTTGGGCTGGGGTGCAGTCCTAAATAATCTTTTGGTGCAGTGAACTTGGTCGTTGAATGAAGCACCTTCAATATTCTGGCACTCAATTCATCCAACAGGAATTCATTTGGGCAATTCCAAGGCCTGCATCAATCCTCAAGGAGACACTTGAAGTTGCATCTCTCCAAGGGTAGCAGACTTGATTCTCCCTTGTTCAGACTTTCACAGTCCGGCCTCTCTCTGCTGTTCAAATCACAGTCATGGAAAATTATCACCTACTTGTATGCGTCTTCTGTGTCTGGATCCAAGGAAATGGGCTCCCTATTCAGAGATCTTTTAAGCTCTTTGTTAGAAGAACTGGATATGGACCTGCTGGAGTTCAGATTCAAGAAAAAAACTGTACAGGTTTGTCACCAGATCCAGGGATCCACCACTTTGTGGTGACATTGTTGCATCAGTTCAACTTGATTTACATCTTTCTGCCCTGGTAGATTCTTTCTCATCTACTTTTCAGGATTGAGAAGGATGATGGCATTCTGGTGATCCTCATCACAATGAAATTGACCCAGGAGGATCTGGTATTCAGGCATAGTCAATCTAATGGCTTTCAGATTACCTGGACCTCCTTTCCCAAGCTCCAGATTTCCATTTTGCTTCTTAGTTGCTGGCTGTAAAGACATAACTGTTTAAGCCATGATTCTGAGGGACAGTGGTGTTTCAAATCCAGTCTCCCCCTGGAAGGCTAGAAATTGGACTTCTCAATCTACTATAGTACCTTGAAGGCTTGTTTTAAGAGTCAAGGAACATTTATCCTAGAAAGTACTGGAATGTATGCGGTTATTACTGCTGTCCAATCCGATTTGGACTAACATCTGGGCCTTGCCCATTCAGAGACCTTTGGTCTGTCACATTCTAGGTAAGGTCTTTTAGCAGTATCTTACATTTCTCCTAACGATCGTTCCCTTTGTGTTCTCAGTCTGGTTTCCTCTGCCCTTCAGAATCCAACCTTTAAACCTAATAGGGATATTCCTTTGATGATTAGGTGGTCTTTCTTGTGGCTATTACCTCTATGAGGAGAGTGTCTGAGTTGCTAGCCTTCTCCTGTATGGAGCTTTTCTTTGTGTTGCACAAGGACAAAGTTTTCTTGAGGCTTAGGACCTCCTTCCTCTTTAAGGTGGTCCCTTCCTTCGGCATTTATCAGGATATTGTCCTTCCTTACATCTGGCTTCAAAACTTCCTAGGGAATTTTGTCTCCACTGTCTGGATAAGCTGCGATTTTACTGCTTAGATACTGAAGCTTTTGGTGAATCCAGTTCCCTCTTTGTGCTGCCTAAAGGTTTCACAAAGGGTTCTCTTGTCTTTTAATGCCACCATTGCCAGGTGGATCATACAAGTTATCATTGGAGCCTATAGTGTGACTAATAGGGTTACTCGCTTCCCTGATAAAGCACACTCTACTGTTGGTGCATCTTGAACTTTTTGGCATCACTCTTCTGTTTCTTAGATTTTCTAGGCTGCCACCTGGGCCTCTGGTAGCCTCCCTGGCGGTATTCCCGAGTGTAGCTCGGGGTAAAGTTTCAGTACCACAAGCGGAAACCCCGAGCTACACTCGGGCTTACCATGCGGCGCTGCTCCGCGATCCCACAATCACTTACCTTGTCCTGCGCTCCCGCGATGTCCCTCCTGCAGTGTCCCCGGCAATGTAATCTGCCGTATACCGGCATCTGTCATCTGGGTTTCCGTCCCCTGCGAGCGTCAGGACGTACGGGGGACGGAACGGCGGGAAATTTGAAAATGACAAAAAGTGACATTCACTAATATCACATAGTAAACCATTACTGTATCAAACCATTTCACATATATTTTGTCCTGTGTCCTGCCTGCATTTTTACTGTTCTTTCTGCCTGGAAACTGAGAAACATCCATGGCGTCCAAAAAGCGTCCCTTTAGGTCAAAATCGGTTTTAGATCAGCCAGAGAACAGCAATAGTAAATTAGAACCACTTGCAGAATTGAGTGATAATGATTCGTGGGGAAATTCATCATCAGACACTGAAAAAGATTTTTCAACTTTGCTCAGTGATGTGCGAACTTGGCGCTATATTTCAAATTTCAGTGTTTTTGGTTTGATTACATTATTGAATTCAATTTATTATTATTATATTACTATTTTTTATGATTATTTATTAAATTATAATTTATGATTTCGTCTTTCAAGTTTTATCATACCCGGAATGTTTAGTAGACTCTTGTTCGGACAGATTTCAGTGAGTTATTCCTAAAAATTACAGGCCTACAATAAAAAAAAATACATATTTCCATGCAAAAAAATTACCGCTTTGAGCACAGAAATATGGCCATAATCAGACCGCTAGGGAGGTTGACTCGTTTAAGTTCTTCCAGATGGCTGTTCAGACCTTCTCTGATGCTATTTTCAGGCATAAGGTGCTATAGGCCAGTGGTTCTCAACCTGTGGAACCTCAGGACCCACATTTGCCCCATTAAGTCACGACCCAGTCACTATTATTTTTACACTTTGTCATCAGTGTAAAGTTTTCTTCTTTTTTTTTGTTGTACCATTTTTTTCTTTCATTTACAATTTTTTTACATGCTTTGAACAGAATAGTGCAGTGTTACCAGTGTGTCTACTCTGGGGAATGTGATCAGGATTTTTTTTTTTTCTTATATACACTGAGTGCTTATAACCGTGATGCTCACGGTTGTAGGCAACCATTTTTATGAACGACAGCTATTCATGTGCTATTTTTTAAATTGTGATAGCTGTGATTGGCCCTGTCTGTACCATGTGATCACTGTGACCAATCAGAGATCACCATAGTACACAATTAATTGCTATGAATGAAAGCCATTTATTGTGTAAATTTGACATGTGATCGCTGTGATTGGTCACAGTAATCAGATTGTACAGGGGTTGGCCCAGTACAGCAAGCTGTCACTGGACACAGTGGTTGACAGTTCGAGTTGAAGGAGGCGTGTGACTGGGAGGACACCTTGTGATGTTCTAACTGTTCTCCCGCTTAGCTATTCTTTGACTATAGACCAGGTGGGGAGGTAGTTAATGAGCAATGTGCAGTGGTTCGGCATGGGCTTTGCAACTGTTCAGGAAGTTGACAATGTTGAGAAAAGTTATCTTGTACAACCGGACAGTAACATGTAAGTGCTATTTGATTTTATCTGATAAGCCATGTGCCTTTGTCACTGTAACAGACCAAAGAAGGCTGCATGGGTATAGTGCAGCTGCAGTATTGTTGCCTCCAATATTTCTGAAGCCAGAGATGTAAATAAAAGGCTTTTACCAATGTTCCACACAAAACCAGTTTATTTACATGTTAATATACAGCGTTTATTACCTGCAGTCATATTTTCATAAAACAAAATGTCACCATCTTATGAAAGACTTCTGGCTCCATGCACACTGTCGTTTTAATAAATAATATAATTTTTTCTCAAAAAAAGTCCAAAAATGCTGGTTTGTCACTTTTTTTTTTTTTTTTTTTCAGCGTTCGAGCGTTTGAACATTTTTACAGCTAAAAAACTCCTCTAGAAACCCACTAGTTCTGGGGGTGTTTTCCAGCCAAAAACGCCCTTGCCAAAAAACGCTGATTAGTCTGTGTGCATGGACCCATAGGACAACATGCTTGGGAGTTTACTGGCTGTAGAAAATAAATGTCCAAAGCCAAAAACAGCAGATGAAAAAATGTGTGCATGAGGACTTATGGTTCATGTATGTGAGAGAATAACTGCTTCAGGGTGCTCTCCTAATACACTGTTTACAATTTTTACTGTATGGCAGCAAATTGGCAAACATTTTATAAGTTAATGTCACCTTGCATACATTAATCACATAACCATTTAAATAACTTCCTGTTGTTCACTTGCCAACTGAAAGTGGTGTTTTCTGTTGTGTGTGCTCTGTGAGGAATTAATATTGCAACATTGTTAGTTTGTATTGCAAAAATACCTAATAAAGAAATACTCTATTTCTTTATTGTACAGTACAGGAATCGATTAATAGACCATAGGTTATATGCCGCTACTTTCAGATGATTGTACACTGGCAGGTTCACCCCTTGTGTCCGCTTATATCTTAGCCCATTCAGTGTCCGTCGGTAGAAGATTTTTCTAGTATCTTTTCACCAGATTTAACTTCTGTAAATATCTGAATGATTACTGCCTTTATGGCTCATTAGCGGTTTCCAAAACAGTAACTCTTAACCACTTGCCTACAGGGCACTTATACCCCCTTCCTGCCCAGGCCAATTTCCAGCTCTCAGCGCTGTCACACTTTGAATGACAATTGCGCGGTCATGCAACACTGTAACCATATGACATTTTTATAATTTTTTTGTGACAGAGCTTTATTTTGATAGTATTTAATCGACTCTGGGTTTTTATTTTTTCTTAAACAAACCAAAAACCGCTTAAAATTTTGGGGAAAAAAATTTTTTTCTTAGTTTTTGTTGTAAAATTTTTGTAAAGTCATTTTTCTCCTTCACTGATGTGTGCTAATGAGGCTGCAGTGATGGGCACTGATAGGCTGCACTGATGGACACTGATAGGTGGCACTGATGAGGAGGCACTGGTAGGTGGCACTGATGGGCATTGACAGGCATCCTGATGGGCACTGAAAGGCAGCACTGATAGGTGGCACTGACTGGCACTGATAGGAGGTACTGACGGGCACTGATAGGAGGTACTGACTGGCAGCGGTGATAGGTGGCACTGATTGGCAGCAGTGATAGGTGGCACTGATTGGCAGCAGTGATAGGTGGCACTGATTGGCAGCAGTGATAGGTGGCACTGATTGGCACTGATGGGTGACACTGAAAGGCAGCTCAGATGGGCACTGATATGTGGCATTGATGTGAACTGGTAGGCACTGATATGTGGCATTGATGTGGCACTGTTCAGCACTGGCAGCTGGCACTGATGGACACTGACAGGTGGCACTTCTGGGGCCACTCTGATCATCAGGGCACACTGATCATCAGTGCCCTGATGATCAGTGTACATGTCCCCCCTCCGCGGAATGCCGATAACTGGCTCTCCTCTCCTCTCGAGCTGTCATTGTGACAGCTCGTGAGGAGAGAAATGCCGATAACCGGCATTTCCCTGTTTACATGTGATCAGCTGTGATTGGACACAGCTGATCACATGACCGAGCCAACATCTTCGGCTCTTTCCGTAGATCAGTGATCCGCTGGTCCGAAGGACACAGCGCACCGCTGATCGTCGCGCTGCGTGCTTCCTGAGCCGTGCATGCGCAGTGAGAATGGGAGGACGTCCTATGACGTACTCCCAGAACGAGAGAACCACCTTGCGCCCGTCATTGGACTATATGACGGGCGGGGGGTGGTTAAAGAGGTTACTTCCTTACCCTCTCGCCATATGCTAAATATTGCAGATTCACTGATTTAAGCAGTGTACTAGTCTATGTATAGATACACCTAGCACTGCACAGCCTCCCCCCAAACTAAAAAATGCTTTAGGAATGTGACCTTCTGTAAAAAGTTCTTACTACTCTGGATCAAGTAAGTGGTCCTTAAACAATTATTTGCCAAGTGCAGAGATTTTTTTCCCCCCTCCTGATAATGTTGAAACCTTGTATCCTATGGATGCAGATTTTGGCATCAAATGGTCTGTCTCTGCAGTAGACCCAGCCATTTTGGCACATATAATGCAAACACTACCATCCCTATTAAAGATACTCCCTCCCTAAAAGACTCAGCTGATAGGCGTTTGAAAACTTTTAAAAACCCCCTTTGTGCTAGCAGAACAGGCCCTACAGCCAGCCCCTCCTTTGCGATTACTCAAACTATGGCTAACTGGGACCCACAATAAACGCTGAGTGGCCCTTGCTCAAGCTAACAAGGTCTGATTATTTGGATGCTGCTGACTAGTGAGAGTGTGGGCTGGGCAAAGGTTTGTCCAGACTCAAAGCACGTTGTAGATATAGGAAGAGATACCTCAACCATCGTACACCTTGCCCGGCCTGTGTGGTTAGCAGGTAAAAGCAGCCTCAGCTTGATTCTTCCAAGCCATGCTCCCAACATATTTCACCCCACCCCCGGGGCCTAATCATGGACCAGGCGATGTGTGCAGTGGTTGGAGTATCTATTCATATTTCTACTATGACTACCTGGGCCAAGGAAATTGATTATCTTTCTTTTAAAATACAGGCCAAATCTTTACTCAATTGCAATTTACCTGCAACCCTAATATGTTTTGTGGATCCCTCATAGATCCTGATTCGTCCTCATTCTGCATCTCCTACTGTGAAATTCTTATCCGTGTGCCCCTCCCAGGCGCAATCATCTACTGAAGGTCCTTCCTATCTATAAATGTCATATCTTGGAGTACAGTACAGGACACAGGTCCTGCCCTTCTATTCTATGATTTCTCTATTACTAGCTATATTGGAGCCTTGGAGTGGGTGGGGTTAAATGGGATCACCATGAGGCTGATCAAGCAAAGTTTGTGCCAATATTCAATCACCTGAAAGTAGAGACATGTACTGATGTAACCCATAGTCTGTGAATCGAGTCCTCCAACAAGATACCAAATGTACTGGTATGCCAATATTCCTCTTTTTATTGTAAGATTTAGATTAATAAGTTTTAATAGTGTTAGATCTTTTCCTGTGGTTTTTCTCTGTGCTTCATACATTATGTGTGTATTATGCGCTCACTTTCTAGGTGTGCAATTATTCCAGGAATCTATGAAGACAAAGGAAGTGACATCGCAAAAAATGTTTACCAAAAAAAAAAAAATGTAGCGAAAGTTACTGATTCAGTTTCTTGGTTTCCAGAGTACTGCTTTGTCTTATTATGTTATGCCACAATGTTAAAGCAATAGTAAAGTCCACTTTGCAACTTTTACCTACCGGTAAGCTTATAGTAAAGCTTACCTGTAGGTAAAATGAATATCTCCTAAATGTGCACCGTTTAGGAGATATTCCAGCAAGCAGCAGCTGGTGACGTTACCAGCGCATGCGCTTTTGAAGGAACTGCAAATCCCTGCCGTTCTTTCAGAGTTCTGTGTTGTGCCCAGGGCTCCCGTTCGCATGCATTGGAGTTACGTCATCTATGCTTGGCCAATCAAATGGTCCGAGCCTGCAAAACTGGAAGAAAACCAGGCGAAAATTGAATCCTTGTCAGCATTGACAGGGTGCCGCTGAAGGGATCCGTTTTAATGGTAAGTCTGACATAATGTACTGGTATGCAGTGCATACTAGCACATTATGGCTCAAACCTGCAGGGGGGAACCATTTTTTTTTTCTTTGTAGCTTTACTACCAGTTTCATATATATCCCTTTCTTTTGTCTTTTTTTCTTGGCTCACATCTGTATGCTAGTCTTTGTACACTTGAGCTGTGGGTAGAAATATGAACCTCAAAGGCAGAAAGCATTCCAGCTTTGCTAGGTCCAGAGACCAGAAAGGGAGCAGGTGTTTAAGGAAATTTAAAGGAGATGTAGTAGTTTCTTCTCAAACAGCTGTGCCATGGCTTTTTTCTCCTTCTATAAATTCTCTCATAGTTTCCTTTTACTTCTCTCCCCTACCTCCCTTTACAGCAGTGTACATTTTGTGTTGTCTGCTTCCTTTTTTTTTTTTTTCTTTTATTATAAAGCCTTTCTGAGCTTTCAGAAAATGGGGTGGCGGCGGGAAGCTGAAATGACACATAACTCAGTGAGGACAGCTCTGAGACCTGATTGGAGGGAAGGAATCCCCCTTACCCTGCACACAGGCTGTGTGTTGTAGCTCCCTCCCATCACATTTGTTCTCTTGGTGTCAAGAAAACTTCTCAGAAGTGAGTAATGCTGATAGCAGGAGAATGAAATGACACTTGGTGTTCTTAACTGAGACAAGTACACACTATAGAAGGATATACTGTATTAATATTTCTTGTCTGAGATGTACAAACACTTTAGCTTACCTGTACAATTAACTTGCTGTGTTATTTTTTTGTGATTTTTTTTTTTTTCTTGTTCAGGAACTTGGATTGGGGAACATTGAGCGATGCAAGGGTTTTTCTGGTCATCTGCTAAAGGTCCTTGTAAAGCAGAGGAGCTCCCTCACAGCTGTTACTGAACAGTGGATTATTTTTAGGTACCTTCTAGGCTTCCTAATACTTTTAAGTTATTAAATATGACCATATATGCAACTGGACTTATAGGCAATCTAAACATTTTGTGCAGTCATGGTGCATTCGCATCAACAAGGTATCTTTTCATTTTGTTTTATTCCTGACATAGCAGAGAAGAACCCAATGCACACTTGTCACATACATCATTTAATAATAGGAAATTGCCAAATGCTGTTAAGCTTTAGCTGAAGGTTAAATTGTCTAAGCATCTGACTGCCCAGATTACTCAGAGTATGGTTGGATTTAAGAATATGTAAACCCGACATTTCATGTTCCTGATATGTGCCTGCTGTACCATGTGCTTGTATGAAAATGTATCCTGTTCGCTACATATCGTTTCCTTTTGAAATCCCTGGTTTTCCTGCCAGTCCCCCTACTTTCCGATTAAACACTGACCACACTGAGCAGAACACACTGTGGTCAGTCCTTTATTTGGGAACTTTGCCTTCTCTCCTTCAACGATCAGACTTTTCCTGATTCACCCCCCCCACCCTACACAGCCTTTCTCGATTTAAAGATCAGTGTGCTGCTGTTTCTTCCCCAGCTCTTATGCAAGGGAAACATATTCACAAATAAAAATGGAAAAAAGGCATTTATGTTTTTTATATCTATGAACAAATGTTTTGCTTTTCGTTTCTCTTAAGTTTTCACTCCACTTTTTTTTTGTTCATGTTTCAGAAAATTGCTGAGCAGCATTCAGGAGATCCATTCACGCTTAGATACAACTAATGACTACAAGATTGCTTTCCCACCGCAGGACGGGATGCAACAATGGCTTGACCGACTGCACCACCTGGTTACACAAAGCAGTGTTGTACTGAAGGAGCTATCATTGTTTGTAGAGTGCTGTCCTGTAAAAACTAGTGAAAGTGAAGATGGTTTACCTAATGCAACAGAACTGAACATGCCATCTCCTGCTACTGCTGACTGGCTACCAAAGCTGTGCACCATGCGGAAATCAGACGACAACTGGCAGCAGCTGAATGCTTCAGTGACAAAAATGTTAGGAGAAATAAGAACCTTAAAGACAGCTGTGGATAAGCTACAACCACAGCCTGGTGGTACTCCCTTTTATTCTTGGTGAGCATGTTTTCCAAAGGCCTTTCATAATTAGATCTATGATGTGACTGGATGAAATTAGTTTGATACAATTAAGATTTCATTAACATTGAAAAATCTGCTTTTTCATGTTTTACTTCAGGACAAACTTTCAAACTTGTTCAGTAGCCATGGACACCATGCTGGAGATTGCTGTTGACTTAAGGGATGTTGAGTTGCTGTTTGTTCTGCCTGAGACAGAAGTGAAGGAGGCTGCACAGCATATGATCTTTCTGAGGAGCATTCACTACCTCAGAGAAGAGATCCGTATCGCAGGAAGGGAGTTCTCCTTGTGGAAATCCCGTCTGCAGGCGATTGGACGAGCAAAGAGTAAGATGACATTTTAAAGGGAGTGATGGTGTGTAAAAGTACAATACATTTTAGTTGGAGCAAATAACGGTACTGTAAATGAGAAACCGTACACGAAGTTGGAGATGGGGAGCAAAAATGTATGTGCACCTTTTAGCCTAAAGTTTCGCTTTCTTCACAGCACTAGTCAGCTAGTCACATATCACCCATAATTTAGAAATGTACCCCGTGGCCTGTATTCCCATACAGTCTGTCACTTATCCAGCCCCTGCCTATTGTTATAAAGACCTACATATTGTTTACTATAGGCACTAAAGCTGGTATGCACCTTTTCATATCGAGTAGCTAGGACTGGAGGAGAACATTTACAGGGTCTCAAGCAAAGTAGTAGTGTAATATGTGTGGATATAAGGTTTGTACTGCATGAGCGATTTCTACATGTTGGATGATCTTGCATGCCTTCAGCTGTAACGAAATAGTACCTCTTGAACATGGGCTACTTACATAAGCAGAACAGACAAACAGATGCATAAAGTACAGACAGCTGTGTTAAATTATGACAATTTGACTTAACAACTGACACATAACTGCA